CCTTGGCCCCAACACCATGGAAAAGAGGCCTCTGGAACTTGGGGCCACTCCTTGGGAAAGGGTACTCAAGATAACTGAGATGAAGGTCCTGCCCTTTGGCGTAGTGAGAGATGGAGATTAATAGTGTAATTTAGTTAAAGTATCAGAAAAGCTATATATTTTTCACAGCTGACTTTATGGTCTGAGACTCAGTCTTGCTATAAATTTATGTCTACATAGATGTCCCTTTTGGTAATTATAAAACGTAGCATGCTAGGTATCTTGTTGTGCACTTGGATTATTTTTTTTCATTTACTCTTATATTGTAGGTATCATTTCTATGTCAGCATCTATAGATCTACCTCATTATTTGTAATGGCTGTAAGCCTTTTCCTACATGGATGAACAACTCATTAACCATGCTCCTGTGGGTGGGCATTTTGTTTCTTCCTGGTCTGCTGTGACTCCCAAGCTGTTGCTATGAATATCCTTGTTACCATTGGACATGTGTCCATGTTAGTGTGTCTGCAGCATAAATTCCCGGAAGTGTAATAACTGGGTCAGAGGGTATGTGCAGCTGTACTTTTAATAGACATTTCTGACCTGCCTTGGAAAGATGTTGTATGATGCCATAGTATGTGACGGTGCCAACATCGTGACATTAACCTTTTTAAGAATTTATGGTTGACACTATTACAGATGTCCCCTATTTCCCCCCTTTTTGATCTTTGCTAACTTAAATAGGTACAAAATGGTAATTTAATAAGCATTTTTGAATTACAAATGATGTGAACATCTAAACATGATTAAAGGCCATCTGAAAAAAAGTAACAGCTAACACTTGTTTAGTGCTTCCTGCCAGACATTATTTTAAACTAGAGGCCTGATGCACGAAAATTCGTGCAAGCGTAGGCCTTCCTTCCCCCAGCTGCTGGCACCAGCATCCCTCCGGCACCTGGGACCCAGGCAGCTTCGCTCTGGCCTCAGCTTCGTCCAGTAGGACGTCTGGAATGATGTCCAGAAGGACATCTGGTCTAATTGAACAGTGCTCTGTAAATTGATACACAGAAATCTCTTCACATTATACAATTCAAAGGAGTACTCTACTCTGAAGTGCCCAATACTAGTACATACTGCAATGCTTGGCAGAGATAGTAGGTTAAAAAGTGGACAAAAAGTAAAGTAGAGTTTTGTCCTTTTTAAGGTAAATGACGCAAAGGTTAAATTAATTTAACAAGTTAAAACTGAGAATCTATTCATTTTGTGTTGAATTTATGTTATAAAAAACGGAAATACTATAAAATCTCATAAATAATAAATTACAGCAGAGCTACATAAAAGAAGATGGCTCATAATAAAAGAACAAAAAGTTAGGAACAATTTGTGTTTTTTAGAACGAAAAATATATCATCTTATGCACATACACAGAGGCCTAAGGAAAGACTAGAAAGAAACACAACAAAATATTATAAACTAGAGGCCTGATGCACGAAAATTCGTGCAAGCGTAGGCCTTCCTTCCCCCAGCTGCTGGCACCAGCATCCCTCCGGCACCTGGGACCCAGGCAGCTTCGCTCTGGCCTCAGCTTCGTCCAGTAGGACGTCTGGAATGATGTCCAGAAGGACATCTGGTCTAATTAGCATATTACCCTTTTATTATTATAGATGATTTATAGATATCAACTTGTTTAATACTTAAACAGATCGATGACCTGGGTGCTATTGCTGCTTCCATTTTTCACATGCAGAAACCACAGCATAGAGAGGTCAAGTCACCAGGCCCTGTTCATACAGCTGGTTCATGGAAGAACCAGAATTTGAATCCAAGCAGGGCGGCTCCATAGTTCCTGGCCTTAACCACTCTGCTATGCTGCCTTAAAATTCTGTGTAATGGGTTCTAGTAGCAGATAAGTATTAAAGCAAGTGTCCTGCGCTAGAATGTAGATAAAGGAACCTGGGATGGGGGGGTGGGGGTGGGAAGGGGAAGTGAAGAGAATTATTTTCATATTGATCAGTCTCTAATGAACTAAAGACCTGGGACAAAAATAAAGCAGAATAATAATGTTAAAAACCCTTAAAATCAAATTAAAGATGCTCAAGTAACAGGTATAAAATCCCATCCAGAGACAGAGAAGCACTGATCAGACAGACCGTCAAACCTCAGAGAGAAGGCAGGGGAGGGTGGGGGGAAGTGGGAGAGATCAACCAAAGGACTTGCATGCATGCATATAAGCATAACCAATAGTCACAGACCCTAGGGTGGGTGAAGGCACGAGTGGGGTGTGAAGGGGGGGTAATGGGGTATAAGGACACATGTAATACCTTAATCAATAAAGAAAAAAAAGAAAACAAAGTCATGAACTATGACGCTAGCTGCAATAAAAACACAGCCCTGTCCACTGAAACAAATCACATGGAAGAGAAAAGAACATGGTGACTTTTCCTGTTTCAAAGCCTCTCAAGATGGACTTTTGAAATCAGAGATCCCTCAGGTGTCCTTCCAAAGGAAGCAAACTTCTTTCTGCTGTAACACACAGTGGGTGCTGCCTGTGGACAGTAGGCGTTTGCTGAGGTATCTTCAGAGTCTCCCCCCTGCAATAGACAAGGTGGCTGCAGGTGAGAGCCAAGCCCTGTGGGCTGCTCCAACTCCACTGCTTTTGTTCTCACTCAGAGATGCATCAGAATGGCCCCAACGCCACGGTATTGAATGATGCTATTCTGTACCCAGTGGCCCACCGCCCCCTGAAGATAGATGGTAACTCGAAAAATTTTACCCCTGAAGAGAGAAGACAGAGGTGGCCCCTGTGGATGAAGGAGGGCTGCAGGACTACTTTTCTCTTGGCTCTTCATCGCCAGCACCTTCCTTCATGTCACCCGGCTCATATATGTTGTACTCAGGCACTGGGGCCTGTTTTCACAGGGGAGTGAACAGGGCAGTCTACGGTGTCCAGGGTGGGATCCTCCTCATCTACACAGCCGAGTGTATCTCAATCACCTGCCTCACGCTGTCCACTTACTGCCAGTTCCTGAGACAAAAGAGAATCAGCAGAATCCACTGCTCTACAGAGGAGCAGGCAGCATCAATGCTGCTATGCAACACAAACCTTACAGAGCCCACATGGGGGCAGGGGGGGCACAAAATCCAGCTTTAGAGAGGGGTGTCAGCCAGGGATGCAAACTTCAGCTCTGATGCCTAGAAGTGTGTTCAGAGATGGAAGGAACCTCAATGTTCATCAATGGGACAAATCCTGCCTGGGGATAGGGTCAAAAGATGGAGCCTATTTAGCAAATCAAAGGAAACCATTTTAATGGTCCAATTCTCTGGATTACAGTGATGCTATGATGACACGGAAGAGAGAAACAAAAAGGTGTTTGAAGATGAACATATGCAGATTGTGCTCCAAGGCCTCTGAAGGACAACCTGACTGGGAGAGGTCTTCTAAGGACTGCCTCAGCAGAGAATTCTTCATCGATGACCTCAGTAGTTGGGAGAGGCTCAGCTGACCCAGAGCAGTTTTCCTTCAGGGCAGAATTGCAGTTCTCTTTATTTTATTTCTTCTTGAGAGAATTCCAAGAACCTAGGTCTCACCAATCCTCACACCCACTGCCTCCCATTTGGGTTCCAATGGGGATCCTTGTTCCTGAACTTCGCTCAGAGAAGAGACCTATTTATACTCTTTTAGGAATATCCCATTCGATCTTCCTCAGTCTTTAGGTTCCTCTATTTTTCCTTGGCCACTTTGGAGGGGCAATGCCTGGCCCCTCAGAAGTTGGTCCCAATGGCCCCTCAGCTTTGTTGAAACTCTTTGGGATCCGAGATATGTTACAGATTCTTATATTTAAGTATAACCTTTTCTATGTGCATTTTATTGTCCTCCCTGCCTCAGTATCTCTGTGCCGGAATACAAGGTCCCTCAATAATATTGTTCTTCACTCCAACTTCCTGTCTAATAATTAAGCCTTGTACACTTTCCCGAGCAATGATCTGGGAAGCAGTACAGGTTGTTCCCCTTGGGGGTTGTGGTGAGGTTGAGAGAGAATGGGCTCTACAGATATGAGATGTAATCTAGTCCTTACCAGTTTATCAGCTCTGTGAATCAAAAACGAACTTTATTCTAGTTTCCTCATCAAAGCTAATAACAGCAACCTCACAAGTGGGAAGGACTCAATAGGAAAGAACACAGTAGAATAGCTAGCTTACCTGTATTCTCTCTAAATGTTAGTTCTTAAACTTTTGTCTCAACATCCTTTGAGCTCTGTTGCCCAATTTACCTTTCTGGATTAAATATGATTATTGTTTTTTGTTAGTAGTTTCTCTCTAGATACACCTGTGGTCAGGATGATGAATTTTCTTTCACTAACTCTCATTAATCTATGATTCTCATTCAAGTTTAAGACCCTACGATTTCAGTGACACTGTTTTCTCCTGAATAACAGGGACCACTGTGCGTCCTGGACACAGCACACCACCTGAGTTATGGGGGTGTTCAGGAAACATGCTGAACAAGTGAATGAATGAATGCGGATGTGGACTAGTCAACTAAAACTGAATTAGCAGCAATGTTCGTAGTGCATTGATGCTTTGTTGCTCCTCCAGGGGAGTATGCAATTTAAAAGAGAAAAGAAAAAAGAAGAAATGAGAACCACCCAATATTCAAATATCAGTAGACTTGCTAGTTTTATACAATGGCATTTCTCTTTAAAGGAAAGCTCAGTTGAGTCCAACCACAGGTGGGAGAGCCACTAGATCTTATAGATTTGCTGTATCTCCTGCTACACAAATCATTGACTGAAAGATTAGATCCTTCAGTGTGGCCGCATCCACAGGGAGACCGTCCAGCCCAGAGTGAGGACATCTGAGGCTGCATTAACTGTTGGTGGTGGCTGACTAGGAATATAAAACTCTGACCTTCCATGAACAGACAATCTGATATCAAAGAGGCAAGAGGCACCTCAGATCATCAACAATCCTTTAATGAGGTGAGGAACTCTTGGTGGTAAACTCAACAGCTGAGTAACAGGATGGCGGTACAACAACAGGTCGAGAATCAAGGCAGTGAGGTCAAAGCACTGAGCCAACACCCACCTGGGATGGGGTATAAAAGGCCCAGGAGGGAAGGGGGTTCTCAGACTCGTGTCTTGGCCTTTCCAGCTGCTCTGAACCTCCTGTGTAGCGTCAGCCCACACCATGACTTCCTTCTACATGACCTCAAGCCAGCCTCTGGGCCAGGACCCCCCACCATTCCTGCCAACATCGGAAGCTGTGGGGCCTATGGTGAGGGTACCCTGAACGGCCATGAAAAGGTGACCATGCAGTTCCTGAACGACCGCCTGGCCAACTACCTGCAGAAGGTGCGGCAGCTGGAGCAGGAGAACGCGGAGCTGGAGACCAAGATCCGAGAGTGGAGCAAATGCCATGAGACCACCATGTGCCCCAACTACCAGTGCTACTTCCAGACCATCGAGGAGCTCCAGCAGAAGGTGGGGTGTGGAGTAGTCTGGGGTCTGCTGGGTCTGAGGGAGGCGGAGGGCATGGCAGGCAAAACCACTGAAGGCTCAAAGAGGTTAGGGTTCTTGGGTTTCCTTGAGCAGGAGGGTAGACACCACACATAGGGCTGGAGCCCAGTGTGATGTTACTGTGTGAATGGTCTTCCTGTTTTTTCTTAGATCCTGTGCAGCAAAGCTGAGAATGCCAGGCTGGTTAGCCAGATTGACAATGCCAAGCTGGCTGCCGATGACTTTAGGATCAAGTAAGTAAGGCCAGAAGCAGGCTAAGAGTGACTCCTTTCTTCTGTTTTATTTCTAAGTGGCTACCAGAGTACTTGGTCCACCAGAGTAGATGTTCAAAAATAGTAGTTGATGAGAATAATGAATGAATCAATGAATAAGTGTCCTCTTTCTTCCTCTCCAAACCATAATTTAACCTATTATTAGAAATGGTCATTATATGGGATGAAAGAGAACAAAAACATTAAAACAAGAAAAGAGGTAGGGTCTAGATTGATTAGATCCTATGTCATATTCTCCCCATATCTAGAAGGAAAGAGGGTTTTGTGTTATAACCTGAAGCAAAATCAAGTCATTCCAAGAATAAACTTTCAGTACATAGGTCACTGACAGACTCACTAACCCTTGGCCTAATCCATTAGTGGGAATAATTGTCATTGTAGCTTCTTGTATTAAGAGTTGCAATTGAATGAATGAGAAAAAAAATGAGAAATAATTAATCCAATGGGTGAAGTAGCAAACTGTAGGTCCAGAAGGCTTATATTTAAGCCATTCTTTTCCCTACGGCAGCATGAATACTGCATTTGAAGTTTGAATACTTAGGTTGAGTCCCTTATTTACTATTAATCAAGGTATATAATCCTAGACATCTACTATTCTTTCTGAGACTCGGTTTCCATCTAGTCAATGACCATGGGCTCTGTAGCTACAGAGGCTAACACAGTGATAGACCAGGTGAGCAAATGAGGATCCAAGGTGGGAACTGGGATCAGGTGAGAGAGGCTTTCCTTGACATCTGTTGACCTTGCATCTCCTTGATGGAAGGCACGAGAGTGAGCACTCCCTGCGCCTGCTGGTGGAGGCGGACATGTGTGGGATGCACAAGCTCCTGGATGACCTGAGCCTGGCCAAGGCCGACCTGGAGGCCCAGCAGGAGTCCCTGAAGGAGGAGCAGCTCTGCCTCAAGAGCAACCACGAGAAGGTCTGGCCCTGTGGCTGCAGACTCATGGTGGTGGTGGTGGTGGTTAGGGGGTGTTGGGCAGGAAAGGGAGCCCCTCTCATCCTGTGGCTCTAGGATTGGAGTCAGTTGGCATCAGGATAATGGGTTGATCTGGGTTTGAGTCAAGCTGACTCTGTGGGATGTGGTAGCTGGGAGTTTCTTCTCCAAAGACTTGCCTCATGAGTTTGGGAAGGTCTCCACATGGGTTCTTCTCATTGACCCTGGCAACAAGACCTTTCACATCAGTGTGTATGTGGAGTCACTCTTCACACTGTTTGTCAGGAGAGCAGTCCAGGTGCTGTCTGCTCTGTCAAAGCCCTTTTCTCACTTGGGGTTCTTCTGTTGGTTCTTCGGTCCCTGCAGGAAGTTAACATTCTGAAGTGCCAGCTGGGAGACAGGCTCCGGATTGAGCTGGACACGGAGCCCACCGTGGACCTGAGCCGGGTGCTGGAGGAGATGCGGTGCCAGTATGAGACCATGGTGGAGACCAACCGGCGTGACGTGGAGCAGTGGTTCGAAGCTCAGGTGAGGCGGTGCTGCGGAGCAGGGGCCAGGTGGGCTGGGGGAGCCCGGCTTCCATGTGGGCCAGTGAGCTGACCTGTGTCATTTATCCCACTGTGCTTCAGTCTGAAGGCATCAGCCTGCAGGCCTCGTCCTGCTCTGAGGAGCTGCAGTGCTGCCAGTCGGAGATCCTGGAGCTGAGATGCACGGTGAACGCCCTGGAGGTGGAGCGCCAAGCCCAGCACCAGCTGGTATGGGTCCTCCTGCACCCGCAGGGCACTGCGAATGCCCCTGCCACGGCCTGGTCACAGCATATCTGAGAAGTCTCCCTACTCAGTCCTATAAACATTAAGTTTGAGCTCGATTTGGGTTCCGCTCTCCTGGGTGGAGAAGGCTTGCTTTTAAGGCTAGTTCGACCTAGAAAGATGGTTCCTATTACATGTTAACTCCACTGCTTTCAGAACAAGGTGTGGAGGTGCAGGCACTCATTTCACAAGACTTTTCTGGGTATCTCCTTCATGTCATGTGCTGGACGCATAGGGGGAACATGACACAGTTCAAGTTAGACTTCTGTGTGTGTGTAAAAAGTCATGGTCACATTGATGGTCATTTCTTCAGAGCTCTAGAAATGCCCTGTGACTTCATGGAATTTGCCACCTGCCTGGTGAATTCAGCCATGATCTTCACTGCTGAATTTTTCATCCCCTGGGACTTCCCCCCATTATTTCCCATTATAGAAAGACTGTCTGCAGAACTCCCTGTGTGAGGCCGAGGCCCGCTTCGGCACCGAGCTGGCCCAGATGCAGTGCCTGATCAGCACCGTGGAGGAGCAGCTGGCCGAGATCCGGGCTGACCTGGAGCGGCAGAACCAGGAGTACCAGGTGCTGCTAGACGTCAAGGCCCGGCTGGAGTGTGAGATCGCCACGTACCGGAACCTTCTGGAGAGCGAGGACTGCAAGTACGTGTCCTCTAGGCAATTCCTGGCCAGGCCACATACCTGACTGTCAGATTCCGTTGAGATAACTCAATGTACTGGTGCAGGAGAGCTCATCCTAAAGAACCCGCCTCACTTAGTAACTCATTCACCATTGCTGATGTGTACAGATCGTGCTGTTGATAGAATGGATCACAAATGGTAGCCGGGCCCTAAGCCGAGCCCCAGGGACGCCTGGATATGGAAAGATATGGCTGAGTGAGGACGTGGGTCTGACGGAAGAGGTTCCGTTGGGTTGTATGATTTGTCTGAGGCAAACCCTCCCACACCATTTTGGTCTGATCTTTTCTGTCTTCGGCACTGAGATATCTTTTTATTTCCCATGTCTAACTCTCCCTTCTCTCTCTCCCTTGCAGACTCCCCTGCAATCCCTGCTCTACACCTGCCTCCTGTACCCTTCGTCCAAGCTGCCCCCCGCCGGCCTGTGGGTCTTCATGAGAGCTGACTCTGAAGGTCTGAGTTCCAACACAGGAGGTCAGGGCTGCCTGTCCTGGGTTTAGGATCGCCCTCACCTTGCTTAGTCTTTCTCTAGAAATACCAAACCCACTGGAGGCATTTTCACTGACTCAAAGGGCAGCAGACAACTTCTAAGTAGTGGCTTCCTATCTGTTCCTTAGGCTGATTTTTAAAAAACATTGCATTGTCTTCCACTGAAACTCTTGTTTTCCCCCCTAGTCTCTCTTCTGGGATTTTCATTCTACTCCAGTGCTTCAGAATCTTCTAAAATGTAATTGGGCTCCTGTATTAAATAAATGGTCAATAAACCTCCTTCCTGTATCACGTGGTCTCCTTCCTGTGTTTGGAGTATACGTGGTGTCCTAGGGAGCCCGGGCCCTCAAGCCCTTGGGTGGTCATTGGCCCTGACATGTCACTTCCAGGACCTTTCTGGGGCACTGGGGTCTGAGCCTTGGGATGAAGATCCTTAGCTGACCCTGGACATGTCTTTACCTTGCCCGTAGATCCCTACAGATGGGTGAAAGGAAGCAGTATTGGTTGCCAAGTTTGAATTCCTTCAGAACAGCTCAGAACTAACATGTCCCTACTGTGCTTTTTGGCATCTTTGGCCTCTTGGTATTTTGTTCCAGAGCAAAATCACACAAATTCAAGTTCCAACCCAGTCAAAGAGAAGTCATATTGAGAACTGCCCTGGCCAAGTTGCCATCTTTTTCTCTCAAACTGGCCCCTTCATGGAGGCAGGGCATTTCCTCCTGCTGTTAGACATGGAGGCCCAGCTCGGGCCCTGGGGACAGCTGTCTTGGTCCTGGCCCACTTCTGGGATGTGGTTTTCTCTAGAGAGACGCTGCCACCGATGTGCTTATCTCCTCTGCTGCCACCTTCCAAGTGCTGGTGTGAGGACTGTGGTTGCCACAAATGCTCCAAATGCCTGCCAGCCTCCTAGATGGGACTCTGATACAGACCCAGGTGGTCCACAGCCAGACTTGGTGGAAGAGCATTTGGGCAGCAGCAGGGAAGAGGCTGTGCCCCTTCCCTGCTGAGGAGTCAATTTCGCTTTTGGCAAGCGCTGAGTGTGCCCAGATCTCAGCTCACCCGTGTACCCTGGTCTAAAGACCAGTGCAAAGTTGGTCCTTCTTCATGGTAGTGTAGTATGGTGGCTAGAGCACATGTTCCAGATTCGGGCAGACCTGGGCTTAAATCCCACCTCTGCAATACCGGCTGAGTGACGTTGGCCAGGTCACTACACCCTCTTGAGACCTATTCTTAAAATTAGAAGAATGTACTTCCCTCTCACCATTGGTAAGGGACAATCCAGGTAATGCTCCCAGCATATACTAGTAGAAAGCACTCAATGAATACTGGTTTCTGGGGCTTCCTGGGAACCAGCAGGGACAGTCTTTTCTTCATTGAGAGAAAGAGGAGGTAATGAGGTGGTAGCAGAGCCCGCCAGCAGCACCAGGAACCACATATTCCCATGCTGGTTTCCCGAAGGGTTGTCCATACTCCCATCCACTTATAAACAATCATGAAAACCATCGACTGTTGTTATTGGAGCTCAAAATCCCACTCCAAGTGGCCTAACCAAGTTTTCTAAAAAGCATTCTTTGGGCTGTCTGAGGACAAGAATGTCCATTGGGCTCTTTTGAGCTTCCTTCTATTAAGTGACCCCCCACAAGAGTCATGTTTTAAGCAGTGGCCAGGACCCCTTCCTGTGCCAGGGCCATGGACATCTGGTCTGTCCCCCATTCTCTGGCCAGGTCACACCCTGAATGCACTCTAATTGTGGGACCCCCATGGCTACTAGGCCTGCAGGAAAGGCTGCTCAGACCTAGAAGGGACTGCAGGTTAGGGAGGCCGGCAGGTGGCTGGCCCTGGGCACTTGGACAAAGGTCTTGCTCAGTCATTACTGCAGCCTGAGGGCTCGGGGTTCCCTCTGGTACTAAATCCAAACACTTCTCTTCTTCAGGGTGATTCTCCCTTCTGTGTCATCTTCCCCTCTGTGGCCTGGCTGCATCAGGATCCCCTCACTGATGGGCCCTGGATGTGGCATCTGCTTTTGCTTTGGTCACAATAATTTCAGCCAGATTGATTATTTTCCTCCCCCTGAGACTCTGGCTGCTGTGGCTTGAGACCAGAGCCAGTTTGGAGCCACCTACCACTAACCCCACTGGTCTTCAGTCAACCAGCCCTGCACTCCTGATGTGCTGGTTGGTAATAGTTCTTTCCAGTCGGGTCTCCTCAAGCCCTCCCACCCACCATCTTTTTTCCAACTCCAAATGCCATTTTCCTCAGGTCCCAGAAGAGTGGGAAGGAGTAGGTGGCTGGCTGTGGGCCAAGGAGCTTTGGGAAGGGGCCCACACTTCTGCGCCTCCCACTGCCCACACTGGAAGCCAAGGAAATCAAGGTGGAACTATGGGCTCTCCAGAACAAGAGCATTTGAAATGTACATACTTGGTTTTCTGTGGTCCACCCTGGGTGATACCCAAGGCCCTGCCTCATCCTCTCCCCCTCATCTTCCTTTGCTCTTCCCAAGAACAGAATCAATGTGTCCCTTCTCAGGACCACTCACAATCACCTTCACGAGCTCACCTTGTTGAATCATTTTTGTCTTTTTTCATCATTTCAATGTTTCCCAACCTTTCCCTCATCCATGGCTTTTCATTTAATGAATATTAAAAAAAACCCTCACCTTCTCATTTAATATTGTATTTCAAAAATATAAATACCAAACTCATTTTGACTAAAAGACAGCTCATTTAGAATCCAGGTTTTGCTTGCTTTCAGACAACACTCCCTCTACCCAAAATATCTTCCCTGCCACTGTGTTAGAGATTCCAAATGCCACTCCCCGCTAGGGTCATTCTCCCATTGAGAAGCAGGGCTGCCAGTCAGGTCTGAGCCTTGGGCTGCCTCAGCCTCCCTACCTGCCTTCAGGCGTAAGAAACCTTAGCTGATCCAGAGGACTTCTCAGTCCGTCCCAACAGCCCAGGCTCCAGGCACTTATCCCTGACCCCCTGGTGGCCAATCCCACTCACTACATGTCACGCTCTCCAAACTTAATTCCACTTCTCTCCCTTTAGCCAGCTCTTTGCCTTGACTTCCCAGCTTCCCTTCTGATCGCATTTCACTCCCAGGGTGACCTCATGAACATTTTGGTGTCTCTTTCCCCTCCCCCCCCATATACAGCCAATTACTCAGCCTTTGAGAGTCCTTTTGGGGCATCTCTGTCCTCCATTCCTCCTTATTGGCACAGCTAGTGGCTGGAGTGGGTTTCCATCATGTGCTACCCGGACTCTGGTAAGAGCCTCCTCCTGCCCATCTTTCAAGCCCAAGATCGTCTCTTTGACACTCTACATCTCTCAGGCTCTGTGGCCTCTCCTTCCTTTGAGTTGCATGGTCTATCTCTACTGCTCTCAGTTTTTTTGAGAAGTGGCATTTCTCTAATTCATCTCTGTAGGCCCCTTAGTGCCTTCAGAGGGCATTGCTATGGCAGGAGCTTGTGAATATTGGAGTGGGTCACGGGGACAAGGTCACTGCTGGTGGTAAACCCTGCCTTGGAAATGGTGCACACATCTGCACACATCTACTGGCAGCCTCTTAATCCAAACTCATCAGAAATTCACTTCTAAGGCCCCTACTTAAGGGTGATAGGAACTATGAGGAATGTATTCAGAGGGATTATACTCAGGATGGCAGGCAAGGGGACTTAGAACCATGCTAAATAAAGAACCAGGCATGAGAAATCACACAGCAGTCTGAAAGAGCTGAAGGTCTGCTATCGGGCAGGACTGGATTTTCCCTCTCTGGGACCCCATGGGTAGAATGAGAAAGGAAACGAAAGAGCAAGCTCTGACGTACTTGCTAATGTATCACCAGCATCCAACACCTGTGCCTGCTTGCACAGGTAGGAACTCAATAAATATTTGTTGAATGCACGAATAAAAGAACAAATGGAAACAATAGGTAGAACTAGCAGGGAGGTAGATCTGTCTCTGCATAAAGAAGTTTCTGACAACCCTGATGTGGAAAGTCTTCTAAGGCAAAGCTAGCTGTTACTTATCTCTTGATCCCACTGTCTTGTACAAAGCCTGGGGTACTGGGAGCCACAAGGGCCAAGTTGGCCAGGGATGAGTCATCTTGGAACATGGTGGTCTGGGCACCTAGTTAGAGGGAGGTTATCAGAAGGGATTCCATGCCAAACGGTCCAAGACTAGTGGACTTTGAGATCCCTTTTGGCTAGATATTTGATGTTTTTGAGCCAGCTTTGACATGTGCTGCTGCCTCAAGGGCACTCCCGGTGTAGGTGCATTCATTCATCTTAAGAATGGGGTCAAAGTCGCGTCTTCGTTAGCATAGTCTTGAAGCTGGCTGGCTGCCCTTTTCCAGGGCTTATTAAACAACTGGCCACAAACTTCTGATGCGCTGAATGTGTCTGAAGATTAAGGAAATTTAAATTTTGTTCTAGAGTCTCCTAAGTAATGGGCAATCAAGGTAGGTGCGTTTCAAAGAAATGCAAGAAGTTTCAAAAGGTGAAACATCAAAGTTCTTGAGTGGGTATCTTTTAAAATAAGGCGGGGAGGGAGTCAGTGGGTGAGAGTGTCTGACGAGGAAAAATGCCCAGAAAGGATGGGAGGTGCCTGAGAACAGACACCCTAAAGTAGAAATCACTGCCTTGCCTTAATTAGACGGCAGACTCCAAAACACAGGAACATGATTTAATTTCCTGGGAATCACAAAGTACCCAGTTTCATTCCCAAGTGTTTCCCCACTTCCAAAACTGCTCATCGGCTTCACACTTGCACACGGAAAGTCTTAATTGCCAAAATCAGTTTGATATGTTGTATTTTCGTTTTAATTCAGTTCAAAATACTTTCATTTCTCATTTGATTTCACCTATGTCCCTTGGGTTATTAAAGTGTGTTATTTAGTTTTCAAACACCAAAGTCAATTTAGAATTTCGGTTTTTCTTTCATTGTTCTGGC